CATCGCAGCGGGCAATGGGGCCGAACGACGTGGCCAATGTCGTGGGCCAAGGAGCTATGCAAGTCCGCCGTCGGTGCAGCCCGATGACGCTCGTCATATCTAATGCTGGTACGACTGTTGGTCACCCGAGTGACCTTTGCCGTCTTCAGCTGCTGACACGGCCCTCGGGTGTTCCTCTTGGCTGGAAAAGGAGATGACAATACCAATTGAACCATAAAATTCCCAATTAAAAAAATTTTAAAAACAAAAAAACGAAAGTGGAAGGGTATATATACCTGGAGGTGCCCCCGAGGCACCAGTACCGTCAGTCGATGTGGTGTCAGTGGTGGTAGCGGGCCGGTGTCGCCGCCTAGCGCTAAGAGGCTGGACCACCGAAGAAGATGATGATGCAGCCGCCTGGGATCCCCCAGGACCAGCTAGCACGTGGTCCTGCTCCATCAGTACTGGAGCAGTGACAACTGATACCGGCTGAGCAAGGGGCTCCGAACTCGGTGTAGTCGTCACCGCCCTACGGCATCTAATCAAGTCTGACATCTGCACAATTTCATTAATCAAATTTAGCACATACAATGTCATTAAAAAATTGAACTAATTAATTAAAATCATAGTTTGACCTAGGGTTTGCGATTTCGGAGTATCCGGGGCTCCGATCCACGATCCGTCGAATCCTAAACGATCATATAAATACATGGTACCACATACGTGAGTTTTAGCTCGATCTAACGGTCCGAACATATCAAACCAGGAAGTCGCACAATAGGTTCGATCCGTTCGAGACTCAAACGGTAACCAAATTCCAATCCGAGCACACCTACGCGCTCGTGACAACGAAATGTTTGCACTGGGACCCAATGCCCTATGCCACAGTACCTCACGCGCCACCACACGCGCCAGTAGCGCGTGGGTGCCCAAAGCGATAACAATCACCGGGAAATTCTAAAAATTAAGGGCCAAGGTTCCTACCCTAGGTTCAAAACATCAATTGGAGGCACTTTTGTTCTCGGACCTACCCCGAAAAACCGCCGGAAGTGGCCGGAATTTCAATTTCAAAACAGGCCGAAACCTAGGGTTTCAAATTCACTACCCTATGCACACAATCAATCAAATCCTACCCAACCATCAGCTAAAGCATCAAAAATAGTCCAGAAAGCATACCTCAATTGCCGGATTTGGTACCCGGAGGAGAGAGAATAGCAGCGGCGAAGATTCGGCCTAAATGGAGGAAATCACGGCGGCAGGATGGACGGCGACGGCGGAGAAGCTCCAGGGTTCGACGCTTGTGGCGGCAGGGTCTGAATTGGGGGGGGAGTAGGGGCTGAGGTCACGGCGGAGAGAGAGGGAGGTTTTAGGGTTCGAGTTTGAGAAATTGGGGAAGAAGGAGAAGATCGCGATTTTCAGAAAACTTATTCGACTTTGCGTGACGAATAAAAAAATGCGTCGCCATGTCCGCCAAAATTTGGGATTGAGGTTTAGGGTTGGCAATTTTGCGCAACGAAAGAGCTTGTTTCGTCGCGCAAGGTTCTGAAAATATCACCTTTGCGCGACGTAAAGACCTACTCTCGTCGCGCAAGGTTCTGAAAATATCACCTTTGCGCAACGAAAGAACTTGTTTCGTCGCGCAAGTTTGTCAAACCGCCCAAATTTTGGGATTTGCTTTTGCGCGGGGAAGATAAATGAAATGATTTTGCGCGACGAAGGGGACTTATGTTCGTCGCGCAATCTAGATTTTTGCCAAAAAAAAATTACGCTAAGTGTTGGAGCGGAGAAGGGCTAAAATTCCTTTATGGTTTTGTGCGACGAAGGGGACTTATGTTCGTTGTGCAATCTATATTTTTGCCAAAAAAAAATTTCCGCCAAGTGTTGGAGCGGAGAATGGCTGAAATTCCTTCATGGTTTTGCGCGACGAAGAGGACTTATGTTCGTCGCGCAATCTAGATTTTTGCCAAAAAAAAATTTCGCTAAGTGTTGGAGCGGAGAAGGGATGAAATTCCTTCATGGTTTTGCGTGACGAAGGGGAGTTATGTTCGTCGCGCAATGTAGATTTTTGCCAAAAAAAAATTCCGCCAAGTGTTGGAGCGGAGATGGGCTAAAATTCTTTCTCACATTGCTCAACGAATGCAATGTCCATTCGTCGTGAAGGATTTGCGCGACGAATTCAAGTTGTTTCGTCGCGCAAACCCATATCCTTGTACCCTAAACCCTAAAACCTATACCCTAAGCCCTAA